TCTCTCGGCGACCTTCTTCACCTGTCTTACAATTCCCCACGGCGGGGAGACAAGTGAGTTGTGCCAGAGATCGTTTGTCCTCCAAAAAGTGTCTGCTCCGGAAAACTCCTTGATCACTCATGGGGGATTTTGTAGTTTTCCAACTCATCCTTGGACTAAATAATTAATTAAATTCATAAGTGATTCAATTTATTTATTCACTACAGCTGAAACTGCAAGAGTTTTAAAACACAATTAAATAGGGAGCACGCGAAACCTTATATCAGTATTGCCAAGTGAAACAAGCGAAAGAAAGTTTTAATTGTATATCGGTTTTTCCCATTGGGATATACAATTGAATACAGTCTGACATTGTAGGGGTTGAAGCCGAAGTATCTCATGGCATAAATGTGTACGTCATGAACAGAAAGTTGTTCCTTGCATCGTTGCATGCAGAATTCATTAGGCAAAGTGTGGATGAGAAGAGAAATCTGAGCACTTCCCATGAGTTCCGTAGGTATCTGTGTATATAGTATCCGGCATAGCCCCAATTTATGTTACTTCCATTAGTCATTTCAAGTGTTATAGACAACAAGGATTTTAAACTTTTACATCCCCTCCCAGCAAAACTCCCTGCTCAGCGTCGCACAATCAGTAATTGGTAATAAAACTTCATCCAATTCATCCCGAATGGCAGAGGGTGGAATCCACGCCCTGCATTTCCACCTCTATTTATCCGAAATCAATTAGAAATTGTAATTTATATTGTAACCAAGCCAGTCAAAGCACATGTAGCTGAGACGGGGGACCACACGGTGTGGGCCAAGGGTGAATTTGCCCTCCGAAGAGCTGGAGGACTTGCAGATGAGAGATTAGAGATGCAGACATATGCAAAAATTCAATGCACCCGGAAGCTTCTCCATAGTTATTAAAGTTAAATCAAGTGCTCAAAGTTTAATTGAATTTGCAAATACTAAGCTCTCAATTCCTGAATTCATTTCTAATGTAATTTGCGAGTATTCCTGGGGTTTTGGGTGAACTTTTCTGGGTTAATCTACTTACCGTATTTGGCATGTTAAAGACATCATCGGAGATATGAATTGAGATATTGGAAAACTTAGAGTGAGAGAAATTCTCTATACAAAATGCAATATTGTACTTGTGATCAACTCTAGTTGCCCGCATTTCCACTGTTAACTATTGCTTTGGGGGATGAAAACGGGGGTGTGGCGATGAAGAAGTGCGGATGTAAATGGAAAATCAAAGTGACGGAAGTGCAGGAGACGCATGGGGGTTGGTTTGGGGGGTGAACGAGAGGAGTTCATTAGATATAATATCCCGGGCTGAGTACAAGAAATGATTCACTCAATTGTATGTGTAATAAGATTTATCAGCAACTCTCAGAACTCTGTATTAGCATTAGTTGGTACACCAGTAAATTTCCTTTTCACAAACTTCGTCGCATGTACAATGAATCCGCTTGTGAGCCACTGTGCTTACAATATTGCAAAGTGCACAGATTTCGGCGACGGGGGCGCAAATATCCCCATATCGTCAACCACCCTGTCGTGCGAGGGTCTGATAAATGAAGAGCGGCTGTTTAACATGTGCCACGCAAGAGTGCGGAGCATTTTCAATTTTACCAAGTGATGAAAATTCATCCCCTTTGTTGCCACTTCAATGGTGGAAAACAACACTCAATGCACAGGCTCAACACACACCTTTCGGCTATTGTAGAAATTCTCCTCTAAACACAAGATAAAATGTTTATTTGCTGTATTTTTAAGTGAAACTCTGATAAGCGCAGTTTCCTCATTAATTAGCAGTTTCTCACGAATTTGATATTATTACTAAACTCGGGAGGTTAAGTGAACTTCCGCAGGGTTAACAGGGGAGGAAAATTCGTCATTATCAACTTATGGAGCTTCTTTGTAAGAATTACTACAATAATCTTCTCTTCGACAGGCGGAAAGCAAAGTTTGTGAGAAATTCAAGGAGATTTTAACATTTACTCCCTTAATTTACCAATTATACCGTCAAGTCGTTGATTCACGGCAAATATTCACCTCCACACAATGCTGAATTTCAACTATATATGAAAGATGAGTGCGAGTCATCGAGCGAGAAGAGTTGAAAGACGTTGCAAGTCAAGAGGATTTCAACTTGTGGAGCTCTTCCTTCACCTGATAATTACGATCTCTTCAGGTTCTATCAATTGATTTAATCGGATCACGAGCGTTATGGATTACATGAGAATCGACAGATTGTATTCCGTCGATAAAGTGTCCATTTCTACCTTCATGAGCCAACGGAAGGACAGTGAATGGATGGCTTTCCGAGAGGAAGTACGGTGAGAGTGGCAACAGGAGAGACACAATCATAAAGTTTGCCCCTTGGAAGCAACTTCTCATGCTGTGTATAGTCGTTTTGAGAGTGCAAAATGCAGTCGTAATGTGTACGGACGCGTTGCACAATGTCTTGTCGACGAGGCCCCGAGGAAGTGCGCTGCCCGGAGTGACTTTCTCTGCAATTAAAAGTGTCTTATTGTCAACAAAATGTCTCTTCTTCGAACTACCCCCCCCCCCCCACAAAGAGGCGTGGAATGGGGCGCAAGATAGGCGGCAGAGGAAACCAGGACAAGAGTATAAAAGTGGGTGCAGAGAAGCACTTCTTCCAGCGCGCGACGTCTTAATGATGTCGAAAAGAAGAAGGCTTCAATTAAAATCACACAACATTTTCTCCAGCACGTGCTTGTCTTCACATGCCTTGGAACACCACGACAAACTGCCAAGGTGGCCAGAATTGAGGTTTCGAGGGCGCTCAAGAATCTCCCCAGTAAAAATTCACCATGCAAGACAATTTGAAACACTGCCAACAATACCTATCATTTTCAGGTGCACTGCCTCAACTCGTTACGGGGAGAAGTGGTGGAGAAAAAAGCTCCAGATCCGCTAGTGGGGTATTAAATTTCCCACTGCTGGTGGAGATAATTAAAACATGAGAAGTCATCATTACAGAGTAAAAGTCTCTTTTTCTTGCTATTATCCTAATTGAATGAAATTCTCTCGTTTCTCTATTTATCTTCTTTTTACTCACTCATCCTCTCATGCTCGCGCGATTGCCACCCGCAAGATGAGGAGACAATTTCGTTTTTATGCTACACTCCAATATAATTTAAGTGCGCTGGAGCTTTTTTCTCCATTTGATGATATATCCCAATAGGATTAAACTATACAATTGAGTGAGTGTCTTTAAAATTTCACTGCGTGGACTTGAGCGAGGAAATGGTGACATTGTGGCCTGCATGATGGCAGCGAAGAGTGGAAAAGTGCAGAAAGTAGAAGAAGAGAGAAGAAAAGCATAAAGACCTAATTAATCAGATAAATTATCTGTTGGCTTTTGTAGAATTCTCCCAACGCCAAGAATTGTAGTTTGCCTCACAGACAGTGACAAACTGTTTGGTCTCAACTTTTTCATCCTTTTTTTTTCCCCCGGAAAAGAGGACTTTTGCTCGCACTGTTGCAGTGCAATGTGATTAATGTGGAAAATAGAATTTTGGTTAAGAGAAATCCGAGATCATGTATTGATTTTATCAATTTGCTTTCCTTCATGCAAAGAAAAAAAAAGATGTAAAAGGACGCAATAAGCTTCCACTTATTGATGTACACTGTTTGATGAGGGCGGTCACTCTGAAGCCAAGTGGGGTATTGTGAGATCAAGAGTGAAATCTCCCCCTTTCCACCCCCAGAGAGCTTTTCGTCGAGTTGGCAAGCAAAGCATGATAAGAACGTAATGACACAGATTGTTGAGCAATTTAATACACTTCTTTTTCAACCAATTCTCTCGTTCGTCGCCTTGAGCGCGTAGAAAATCGAGAAAATGACCGGGTGGTGGCATTAAATTTTAATTATCAGTCTAAAATCCTTTGCAGAATTATTGGATTAATGGTGAATTATATAGCAAGTTCATATTGAGGGTAATAGAGCCGGAAAATCAGATGGTGGGTTAATGCTGAATGTGATTCTCATTTGTTGTCTATTCCACTTGAGAATTCCACTCTCCAGCTTCACAATAGTGTGTGTGAATGTGTGCGAGAGAGAGAGAGAGAGGATGTTGAGCTTTCATACACTTTATTAATAATAATGACAGCAGAAACATAGAAGGAAAGCCCTCGGGGCGTCCCTATAAAATTCATTTCAACACAATAGAACGCTAATTAGAGTAACAAAATAATGATAAGCAAGCACAAATTGTATTGTCAGTTGTTTCCAAGTTGGATTTTGTGAAATTGAAAAAGAGCTTCCCAAGGCAGGTCAGAGTTTTGGGATGGCGCGCAAAACGGGGGAGGCGCGGAAAATGAGTGATGGAAGTGAAAGGTCAAAGAGATGGTAAACATTTTCAATCACGCACTTAATATATACAACTTTCAATCTAGAGAAGCTCAATTTAAAGACCTCCTGTTCGCGTGAGAAACAAAAATTGCAGTGAGCTTCGTCTTTGCCAATAAATCATCTGACTCTATTATGGGTGACTCTCAGCAATATTGCGATTTCTTCCTCGAAGCCACTCGGCGATTGAGAGTCGCATTGCTTTGAGAATGTCCTCATGAAGTCTATTGCAAATATCACTTCCAGATCAACAAATTCACTTGAATATCAAATAATGGAGAGTGATTTCTTTTCCACCTACAAATATTATGTTTTGTGTAACAAGCACAATAAAGGCGCCCTCGTGCAGCGACAACCTCTTAGGGACTGCCATTCGGAGCCATTGAAGCGAATTTCAGACAAGCAAATAACACATCAGTTTGTATTTTCTCTCTATTGAGTTCTCATGGAAAATGGCCCAATATTGCCTACCATGTTTCCACGATGTCGACACGGAAATATTTATAGCCATAGAGATAGTTAGAGGTTATACAGAAAAGCTCGGCGGAGGTTTTTATTCAAATTAGAGACGCATTTCCATCAGAACGAATCAACTAAACACTAATTTCATAATTTGTGTTCTTGTCTTTGCAGATCTTCGCTGATCCTCTTCGAGATCTAAGAATTCGGTATGTAATTAATATTCCTAAAGAACCTGTTTTAAAATACTCATCAATTTGCCCTTTTACCCAAGCTTTTACCTGAAAATAATAAATTAACATAACTGCTCAAATGTTCACGATCGATTTCACCTTTCGCAAATTCGGGGAAAGAGCTGCTCATTTCATCCCCTTTGGGCGCTTCATAATCGATGACAGGACCGAAAAATGTCCCCCTCGCTGAAGGGTTGATAGAGAGAGAGGGGAAAGTGACGATTGGGAATTAAATTGAAATTTGTACAAAGTTGCCCCCGACGACCATCTCCAATTAGTTTCCGGAAGAGTGAGTCTCAGTAAGAGGAAAAGGACACGCCGTGAATAATAATTTTGTGTGTCGGATATATGTATTGTTTTCGAGGAGGGGTGAAATCTGCAGAGCAGAAAATACACATGGAAACATCAAAGGCAGCAAAATTGCCTAATTATGCTTTCTCATCCTTGCAAATTGATTTATGTGCAATCGAGGTGTATCAGTGAGACGATTAGTGGAAGTTTCCATATGGCAAACTTGATTTGATGTGTGTGTGTGATGAAAGTTAGGCTCTTACTTCCGCAGCATTTGCCATTATTTATTTTAATCCCAATTTGCACTGCAGTGCGAGAGATTGCACAAAGGTGAATACGGTGAATATTAAATTTGAGATTAGTCTTCTGACTTTAGTCACACAAATTCATGATGCTCTTTCTCCATCATTATAAATGATGCCACAGTTGTGGCTGAAGCTTAATCGCTTCACGCGATATGATAATCTTCCAGAAACTACAGCATAAATCGCCTCTGCAATGCAAAATAACACTCGCTTTTCACCGCACTTCATGTGGCGAAGAAGGCCATTTCCCCTCTCTGATACTATCATCGCTCGAATTGTGTGGGAGAAAAATTTTTGGGAATAAATTTCCCACAAGACAGACACCCACTTTTCTTCAACTTATAAAATTCAAATAACCCCTCCCCTTTCTGCAGCACATCCCCACGGAATTCCCTGGGCTCACTATGCCTCGTCTCTCGAGGTGTTGTATCAGTTGAGATGTGTATCGCAAAATGGCATTACTCTCCTATGCATATTATATTCAAATGAAGTGAGTGAAAATTTGTGAAAATTGTCTTTTTCCAGCTCATGTGATATATGAAATGGTTGTGTGATCGCGAAGGGAAGTGAAAAAGGAGGAGATAGAGAGCGGAAATACTTTAAACGCCACATGATTTTAACTTTTCCGCAATTTTCTGTCCACAAAAACCGGCGGCGGGGAAACGGTTGAAAAGCTTCAGCAACAAAATATTTTTCTTTCTCACAGACACACTCTACCCCAGTGAAAGCTAAATTGGTTCTGACTTCAAGTTTGCTCTCTCGCTTTAGTTCCACTTCCCGGAAGCATTTATCTAATAGAGAGTTGACTCTCTTTCGCAATGGGAGAAGAAAAAGAACAAGGAGATTGAGATTGTCTTGCAAATAGGGAAATTAATAATTTGAATTTGCCAAGAACCTTTTGGGGCTATTTGAGAAATATTTAATAATCTCAGCACCAGCAAAGGATAACAATGAGCACACGCTGTGTGCAAATTCCCTCCCTGTTTGTCGGTTAGTGCAACACTGGCTTAAGCCACTGATAAATAAAAGAATAAGCTTCGAGGTTTCCCGACCATAACTATATACACACTTTGGCGGCAAAAGTGTCCAAAGCACAAGGGATATGTTTACCAGCGGCGATTATCCCGTCTCAAGCGCATGTGTATGTTTTTGCTGCACTTCAAGGGGGTTGGCGCGGGGTGCAGAGGAGGGTGTGTTTGTCGTGAGATCCGCGTGCGTTTCTTGTTGATGTGGCACTGAGGAGAAGTTTCGCTGTGTGGCAACATCACACATGTATTAAAGTGATCTCAGAGGATAGAATATTACACAAAAGAACCCTTGTCACAATATTTTTCGAATCAACAAAATCCTTCCTGTTTACCAAGCGAGGTGGGCGCGCCTTCCCGCCACAACTGTGCCATCAAAATGGATTTCATGATCAACCCCAGGACGCTCTCAGGGATGGATTATGGCAAGTTCCACGCACCAGCACGCACCAGAGAAAATCCCACCTATTGAGGCGTAGAACTTTTTTCCATGTCCTCACACTCATCCAAAATGATTTACCAGCATTTTCCCTGGGCACAATGCCTGGGCAATTTTTTTCCCATTTGCAAATTGCGCTCCCCCCAAATACACAGAGAGAGAGAGAGAGAGAGTGAGTTTATTGAATATCGCAGTGTGGCAAAGGCATGGCGTGACGATTTCGTTGGTGGTGAAATTAGTCGCACGAGATTCAGGACAATTCGTGTTGCCCTTCAGACCACCAAATGCGTGCATCACTTTGAAATCAATGCCAAATCCAACGTTACTAATGATTCCCTAATTGTATTGAGCCTCTCGTCGTCGTCTCGCATGCATATTATAATGTAATTTTAGCATTCGATACTCATTAAACGCGATTCAGCACATCGCGTGGAACTCTGTGGGTTGCGAACCACCCCCTGTCTCATCCCTGAGCGCTCAATCTCCGCGCTTTACTTGCTAGGGGTGTGTTCTTTCTAATGCAAAATCCTGCAAAATTGAATTGGTTGCGATCTTCAAACTCTGACGAATTTCATGCATAAATTCATGCCACGACATTGTCTCTGGCTAATTGCAAACATACCGAGCCAGAGTGTGGCGAAAAAGAAACGAAAATTGTGCCATTGGGTGAAAGTGTGAGGATATCTTGTGAGATTGCCGTGCACGTGGATTATGAGTGCTTCATCAAAATGTATTTATGCAAATCATTCTCCATACTGTTGTTGTTTACAGCACATCCAAGATAGATTTCCCGTCTTGTTTTTCTCCGCAACCCACCAAAGTATATTTCCCTGGCAGAAACTTTCGACACACACCGTCGCTCAGTAATGACGCTCGAAAATTAATTTGTTTTTCCACTTTTATCCAGCTGGCAATAGAGCATGTGCCATAGAGATGCTGTGCCCATGATAAACCCTGACAGAAGTTCACACCAAGGGGGAGATAATACAGTCAGAAGAGGTGTACAGATCAGAAGAAGTACTTAAGAAGTCGAAGTATGCAAAAGTTTACAATATTCCTTGCCCAAGTGCTTCATTCACTGACAAATTGTCCTTATTCTCTTGATTTCCTTTGATTTTCATGCAAAATCAATCGTAAAAGTCTTTTTCTAGGTTATGTAACGAATCAATTCTTATGCCCAAGTCCGATAAATCGTTAGTAATTGACAGAATTAGGCATTTTCATGCTATAAACGACGCTTTTCTGAGTCTTTGATGCCAAGAAACACTGCAAATTGTATTGAACTCGAACATAACCTCAAAAATAGTCATTTGGACTTGAAAAATGTTCACTTAGAAAACTTTTTACACAATATTGACTCTGAATCTTGACTCTGAAAGCTTCGAAACTGGATTTTTGAAGATCTCTTAGTTATATTTTTGAGGTTATGGTTGGAAAAGTTGTACAAAAAATGCGTCTTTAAATGAATTCTAGCAGAAATATCGCATGGAAACTTAAGAAAATCATTATAATTCGGGAACGAATGTGAAAACAGTTGAAAATTTGGAGGTCTTTGGAAGTGGTGTACAGATTTAAGGCATTTTGTCTCCCCCTTGATTCACACGAGAAGTGTTGTGAAGGGATAAAAAACATACGAAACCGAATTGTATATGCATCAATTGCTACAATCTCCAGCACCATGAAATAAATTGCACAGCATCGATGCGGTGAAAAGTGTGTGTGTGAGGAATCAATGTTCAAAAGACTGCTTTAAAATATTATAAACTTTCTCTCCGAGTTTTTTTTTCCTTTCTCGCTCTCCCGACAAAATACTTTAAAAGCTCGACGGTGAAACTACTCACTACACTGTGGAGTGCTGTGCCTTAAAAGCACTCGGTGCCATTTCCAATTTTCACAATATAAACTGCCGGCAGATTGAGTGGTTTACGGGGGTTGTCTTTTGCCACGACTTCGAGGGTTGGCGAAAGTAGGAAAATGTGACTTAACGGTTTTGACATTTTCCATTTTTCCACCCCATGTCTTTTGGTTTTATATCTTGTCGCACGGGCCAAGTTGCCGGGATGATGTTTGCTATGTGCGCAATTCCCAGCGCCCAACCCCTGTTCGCCGGTCGGCATGAAATTGGATAAATCCTGGACGGCGGCGGGGGGAAGGGGTTGACGGGGGGTGCGCAAGTGGATGGTTAATGCACTATTAAGTAAATTTCACAAATCTCCTTACCGAGACACACCAATGAAGTGGATTACAGCCGAATAAATCGACTCTATCAGCCCCAATGCTCGTCTTATCGCTCTTTAGACAGTCCATAAATGTACATTTTCGTGTCATCACAGCACAAATTCACTGGCAAATGAGTCCTATTTGTCGCTGATTTTGTCAATTTCCATATATGCTGATTGTGTGGTGTTTTGATTGATTGTATTCGGAACGCATTGCTGAGTTTTTGCAACTGAATCAGTTGGCGCACAATTGAATAGTTGGTGTACAAAATGAATTGCTGGCTGAATTTAAGTTCCCGTCACTGAATTTTAACCAAATTGCTTTTGTATATCAATTAAACGGATAATAATAGCAGGTTTTGAGTTTTCTCCACTGTCTATATAATATATATTGGTGGAAAATATCGCAATTTTCACGGTGTTACGTTTTTGCTACCAAATATGATTTTAATTGGGGTGATGCGGAACTTTTGTGATATCTTGTCCATGAAACTCACGGAAAATTTCTCTCTCTCTCTCTCTCCGAGAATTCTTCCATAACAAGGACTCATCTTCGCATCTTGGCAAAACTTTATCCAACAATTTTCACTCTAATTGAACTTAATCGCTATTTTTGCCAAGCCTGGCAAAATTTAACGCAACACTTCATCTCAGATTTCCTTTTCCACTGTGTAATTTTATGAACTTCCTAACATGA